TTTTTAAATTAATAGCAATTTTGAATACACCACATTATGACAGGACATTAAAGCAATATTATTGCAAAATAACATTAAAATTTGTACCTTAAATAAATTTTTTACTTCTAACAACTGTTTAAAATAATTAAATACAAATATTTATTACAAGATTCTAACATTATGCCTTACGATTGTGCAAAATATGTATTATTCTAACCTTATTTTCGTGGGGAATCCCCATTACTCTCACGAAAAGAACTTTCTTTAATTTTAGATTGTAGAACCCGGTGGAATAACTTACTAAACATGCTGGAAAGATTTTTATTACTTAAAGATGATGTCCGAAAAAGTCTAGAAACTTAACCTAACCCGGATTGTTTTGTACAAAACTTAGATCAAAAGTAGGAGATAAGACTTTAAATATCAATAATTTAAGTTTCTTGAGAAGTTATTTTTTAAAAAATGGTAATCAGTAAAATGGTATTAGGTACTATATATTATCTCTATTTTATTTATGTTTCTAAAAGTTATTATTATAGTTTGTTTAGAATAACACTTTAATTTTTATATTTTTTATATTCTATACCTTTGAAATAGAAAATGTGAAATGGAAATAAAAATTACTTATATTTTTTATCACCTTAATTTTATTTTTCAGGAAAAAAATTTACCGGTAAACCGGTATTTTAATTTTCATTTACCGAATTACCGGTAAATGAAAANCTTTAATTTTTATACTTTTTATATTCTATACCTTTGAAATAGAAAATGTGAAATGGAAATCAAAATTACTTATATTTTTTTATCACCTTAATTTTATTTTTCAAGAAAAAAATTTACCGGTAATTTACCGGTAAACTGGTATTTTAATTTTCATTTACCAAATTACCAGTAAATGAAAAAGTCGGTAAATTTACAATCCCTAATGTGCATTATGCATCCAAGTTCACACAAATTCAGCACATGGCCAATGTACAGCCATGTCACCAGTCCTGAACTTTTTGACTGTACCTTGTAGCTTAGGTTTGCTTGTATTTATCTATTCTGTATATATAAAATACTTAGCTTAAAATAATTATAAACATTACATTTTTTTCCATGACAGAAAACTGGCAGTACTAGAAATTGTCACAAAATTTTTGAACAGGTGGGCAGCAGGTGGGAAAATTTCCCTAATATACAGGGTGTCCACAAAGTCCTTGTATAATTTTAAAAATTTATAACTTTATTAGTATTTGTGATAGAAAAAAAATCTGTAAAAATTATTAGAAAGCTTAATGTACCTAGTTTTAAGTAAAATTATTTAGTAATGGATTGGAAGAGATGGACCATTTACCTGGCCTCAACATTTGCCAGACATGACTCCATTAGATTTTTTGTGGGGATTTGTGGAAACAATAGTGTATGTAACTAAACTTCGATCATTAGAAGACTTGAAAGCTAAAATGACTAATGTGATTTCAGGCATTACTGTAAATCAATTAGTAAATGTTTTTAGAGAACTACAAAATCATATTACCCTTTGTATTACTAATGATGGTGGACATGTGGAAAATTAATAAAAGACAATAAAACAATAAAAAATATAGATTTTCTTATTTCCAATACATTCTACATAATTTCTCTATCACAAATACTAATGAAGTTATAAATTTTTTAAGTTGCACACGACTTCATGAACACCCTGTATGTGTATATATATATATATACACATACAGGGTGTTCATGAAGTCGTGTGCAACTTAAAAAATTTATAACTTCATTANATTCAACAAAAACTGACTGGTGAAGACCCAATGAATTCTAAGGCACATAAATAAATATTAACTTACACCATAAAAATACAATTGACTCTTTTCAATTCAAACTCCAGAAGAAACCAAGAAAAGTTCGATCATCAAAAATTCTAATCATCTGTTTTTTGAGAATAAAACTAGTTTTCTTCAAATTTCTAATGTTTGATAATATTCTATATTGTTTTTTTTCTTTGTTTTCTTTCTGCTTTTTTAATTACTTTAACTTTTTAACAACAATAGTATTAACTTTTTAAGCTAAACTTGTGTACAATCTACTTTTAGACATCATAAAAACATTGTAAATGCAACTCTATTGTCTAGATGCAAGCATCACAAACTATAAAGTATAATTTTATTTACACCTTAAGAGTTTATAGAATGTATGCATTTTGGGAAATTCCAAAAACATGCACACACTATAAAAACCACATGCAATTTTCTCAAGTTTCATTTTCAAAGTATGAGATATACTAACTTCTAAGTATGCAAACATTTAAAGTAATCAGATTTGACTGTAATATCAAAATAATTATTATTCTGATACATTTTGACAAAATCAAATCAAAGATTGTAAAAAAAAAATGCTTGAAAGTAAATAAAACATGAAATTATGTAAATAGGTTATAATTACAACTATTGCATGCTAATCTTTTTCATTACAAAATGGTAGAAAAAAAATTGAAAATATGCATTTATGTGAAATGTTTGTTGTTCTATCTTTAAAAAAATAATAGAAATTAAAGATTTATAGCATTACTAAATATAAAAATAGATTCTGTAATATCTAGGACATTCTCTTCATAGATAGAAAATTTCAGTATTAATTATAATTGCTATTAAATTTAAAATTAGATTGAGTTTATATTATTTAAAATATTTAAACATTCATTCATATTTTTTATTTTGTATTTAGATTAAAAACAATTAATTTTTAACAACTTTGAATACAGTCGACCCCCCTATAAGATATAGATACGTTCCATTCTTTAGGAATCCAATTTCTTACGAGTCGTTCCAATCACAGCCCGACACGTGTCAAGTTTACGGACTACGGCTGATTGAAAGGTTTTCTTCCATAAAATTAATCGATTCTAGACTAATCCGACTCAACATTTCCAAAATACGTATATTTTTTTTGGAAATAATCCGTATAAACTACGCTATAAATAAAAAATTGTAGGATTACTTACCGAGTGTCACCATTCGACATCGCCATTGCTCAACATTGTTTTCGTCGCGGAACAGCTCAGCAAACAGCGGCCGATTTCTAATAACTTATTTTTCTG